AACTCTCTAACTCTCCAACTTTATCCTTAAAATTTGCTCCACAAAGTATGTCATTGACATATGAAGATTTGGCAGTTTTGCAGTGTTTTAAATAGTATGGGTTATACCATAAACTTGAGTGAGTGTCAAGGCGAAATAATATGTGCATATTGTGGTGAAAGTAATTCTAAGAATGACTGCCCTAAACCCGAAAAAAGTGCGTGAATTGTGAACAAGCAAATGCTAAGTATATAACTAAATATGATTGTAATCATGAATCCGATAATAGGGAAACTTGCCCAACCTATCAGTACCACCTAGAAGTTTAAAAAAATAAAATTGATTATGGCCATCTTTAACTTCAATAATCTTATTTGGAGGAAAATTAATTTTGGCTGCTACTTTTGTGTTGGGCAGCGCATATGGGTACCTATCTTGCTCTGTGCTAGGCAACTCAAATATTCAGCTGTCACAAATAGGAATAGTAATTTTTGCAATATTAATTTTACGCCAGTAGAAAATACCATACTAGAAGGTCTGGGTTTGAATGGTACGGTGCGGGATAACCCTTTTAACTGACACCTTGTTTAATCGGTCCTTTTCTTTATGCCCTGACTAATTTACTAAACATTGTGCATATGAATATACGAAGTATCAAAAACAATTTTGATCAATTCTTGGTTTCGTATGAGCAATATAATCTCAATTCTTGTAATGTGATAATTTTAGATGAATGTTTTCAAATACAGGGAGGAGGAGTTATCAAATTCCAGAATATTTTACCTATTATAATGCTGGGGATAATGGTAGAAATGATGGGATTGTTATTTTTATAAAATCAACAATAATAGCAGATGTTAATTACATTAAATTACCGTTATCAGGGACCAATTTGGGTAGGATAGAGTTTGTTCTTGAAGGTATCACATACTTATTTTGCCGGAAGAACATCTAAAAGCCTTGAAATTTATATGGGTGATATTTGTTAGAAGTAAGTTCTAAAACTGTTATGGTACCTTTTACTTTAGTTTTCTTAGGTTGGTAGTATTGCTTTTACCTTCAATAAAGGTGCAGTTCATGCAAGTATTCTGAGACGGCAACTTGTTTTTCCTTTTGCGCCCTAAGATCTGATGAAATCATAACAGGTTATGGGCCCAGTACCCAGATCTTAGAAAATACGCTTTTGTCGCAACGTGGAAGCATTTTTAAGTTGTAGTCTTTTAAGTACTTAGGTCGTGTACTCGCGTTTTCGTAGTTCCAAGTAAATCGGTCAAAAATGGAGTGTAAAGCAAGATGGCCGTCAACTATCTTTCCAGTGTACCGAAGTTAATCGGACGGGAAAGTTATGACGAATGGGTTTTTGTGCTGGAGGGTCTAACCAAGTGCGTCGATGGCTCCGAAACCGACAGGATTTTAGTAGCAAAAGCAAAAGCCAAACTAATCCTGACTATTGATTCATCCCTGTATGTGCACATAAAAGATGCTGAAACATTTAAGGATGTTTGGGACAAGATTAGAAACCTTTACGAGGATACCGGATTTACACGTAAGATTGGATTGTTTAGAAACTTGATTTCGTTTAGATTGGAAAACTGTAAATCCTTGGAAATTTACATCAATCAAGTAGTGGAAACCGCGCAGAAACTAAGGAAGGCTGGCTTCAAGATTGGAGAAGAATGGATAGGTTCCCTTTTGCTAGCGGGATTGCCAGATAAGTATGATTATGGCCATTGAGCATGCTGGAATCAAAATTACTACTGATTCGCTACTACTACTAACTACTTGATATGCAAACAGAAAGCACTGGTTCCACAGCTTTTGTTGCAAAGAACTTCAATAGGCACTTCAAGAGGGGTACTGGCAGTGAACTGTCGAAATTCAAACATAGGAATGACAGAGACAAATCTATCAAAAGTAGGGTTACTTGTTTCAGATGTAAACAAACTGGCCATTTTATGTCTAAATGCCCACAATCACGCGATTCTGGAGGTTCCGGAAAATGGGATTCTTACAGAAATGCATTTAGTGTTGTGTTCTTAAGCGGACAGTACAGCAAGAATGATTTTTATTTAGACTCCGGCACCAGTAATCACATGACACCAAATGAGCATTAGTTGGAAAACTCATCCCGTGCGGATGTACAGGAGATTGTAGTCGCTAATAGAGTAAAACTATCAGTCAAGTGTACTGGAGACCTAAAAATATCAACAGAGTGTAATGGAAAAAGTCACGACATAATGGTGCAAGATATATTATGTGTGCCACAGCTAACAACCAACTTGATTTCGATAAGTCAACTGATTTCAAAAGATAATAAAGTTTATTTTACCAAGACAGGTTGCAGTGTTTATAACAAGGCAGACCAGGAAATAGCTGCTGCTAAACTTGTAAATGGTGTTTACAAGTTACTGTTGAAACAAGAAAACTGCATGCTGTGTTTCTGGAGAAACATGGCATAGAAAACTTGCTCACATTAATAGCCAGGGCTTGAATCGAATGGTTGGCTGTGTGGATGGTCCATCACTTAAAGAAAAGGTCCAATTTGCCAAATCCAACTTCATTGTATGCTGTGAAGGCAAACAACCGAGACTGCCGTTCACGAATAGTACAAGTTAAAGATCAGGCCCTATGGAAACTGTCTCTCTTGGATCAAGGTATCCTCTTCTCTTAGTAGATGATTACACTAACATGTCTTTTGTATATTTTTTGAAAGGAAAAAATGAAGTTTTTCAACGCTTCAAAGAGTTTCAGTTCCTGGCGGAAAACCAGAAAGATAAGAAAGTCAAAGTTTTTAGAACTGACCAAGGTGGTGAGATTTGTGGCAGAGAATTTGAAGATTATTTGAAGAGAAAGGGAATAATTCATCAAACAACCAACATTTATACACCCCAACAGAATGGCGTTGCAGAGAGAATGAACAGAACCATTTTAGAAAAGGCAAGATGTCTCTTATTCGATGGAGATTTACCAAAGAGGTTCTGGGCAGAAGCCGTCAAGACAGCAAATTTCTTGCGGAATAGTTGTATTGTCAGTGGTTTGAATGGAAAAACCCCTTACGAGTTATGGAGTGGACAAAAACCTGACTTATCAAACATCAGACTATTTGCAAGCACTGTATTGGTGCACACATCCAAAGAAAAAAGGCTCAAGTTTGATAAAAAGTCCAAGAAACATATTCTAGTTGAATATGCAGAAAATATAAAGGGTTATCGAGTTTTTGACCGTAAAACCGAGAAGATAACTGCAAGTAGAGATGTAATAATCTTTGAAAATCAAACGCGTCTGGAGCCCAATTCTCGAAACTGGGAACGGCAATCACATGAGAAAGAAGGGCGTGGTTCTCTCGTGAAGCGAATTTTGGTATTCTTGAACGCGATCGAGTGATCCCATCACGCAACGGCAGTAGAACAAGCTTCTCTTGCCAAATCTCGCGGGAACGCATCGTTCACCGGTTATATAACCACACATTACACAGGTTTTGGCGTAGGTACCCGGTTTGAAAAGTGGTGTGATTTCGGTTCGAACTCGAAATAG